GACAAGAGCCTGGAGCAGCAGAACTACAAAGGTTGGAAAGGAGGTCCCTGAAGCTAGCAAGAACTCACCACTATTCATGGATTCTAGGAGCATTACCTGGAGATCATCTTAGCGGTGAATCACAGCCCCACCAGACTGAACACTCATTCCACCCACATTCACCTTCTCTCCCACCTCCAGTCTAAGCCCCCTAGGCTAGGGGAGTGGATCTCACTTCTGGAAAGGGATAGGCCTGGATCTTAAAGGAGCTAGAAGTCAGTCTTCACTTTCAGAGCTAAGACAGGGATGAAGACAGAGCCACGGTGGTGAGGATGTCAGAGGAGGAGGAAGGAAAGACAGAGGGGCAGGGCTGCAGCTGCTTTGAGACCCAAGTCTGGGGATAAAGTATTTCAGGCAGCCAAAGGGAATGTCACAAACCTCCGGTCTCAGAGCCATTCAGCTCCCTACCAGCCAAGGCTCAGGCCAGGATAACAAGGAGAGAACATTCGGTACAAATGCTGAGCTGCCGGCTTGTCCCTAAAAAAAGACTCCAGCTGTTGGCAACAGGGGTACTTAGAAAGTAAGGCTTGCTTGGGACAGAACAGAAGAACTACGCTGCAGAATCAAAGGGATCCAGACCTGCTCCTATAGCTGGGGTTGTGAGACAACAGCCCATGTGAACATAGCCAGCAAGCTGCTAAAGGTAGAGGCATGCTCTAAACAGAGTGCTGCAGGAAGGCAGGCACGCACAAGGCAGTCCTGCCTGTGACCACTCTCTGCACAGCTTGTCCTGAAACTCACATCTTCCTTTTTTGGCATTTTGAGCTTGCTCAGGTACCTACAAGCATCCTGGGGTCACATGGGTAGGTCAGCATCAGAGAACCCTTCCCAATTTTTACAACCTGAGGCACCTGACTCTACATTGATGAGACTAGTCCCTTGGCAGGCTCATCAGGGTCACATGTGGCTGGAGAGGAAGGACTTGTGAGTGGGAGGGAGGTTCGGAAGAGGAAGGGATTCTTCCGCACAGCTGAAAATACTCATGAGTGGAGACTACGCAGAATGAATGGAGCTGCCAGCCAGTGTGGGTGCACAGCTACTCAGTGGAATGCAGAGAGGAGGATATTTGCATACACACACACACATGCTAGGTAACAGACTCACATTCTTGCAGTCTGTGTCCTGAGGCTGTGCCCCCAGAATGCCACAGGCTTGTCCTGGGATGCATCCCTATATATCTTTCCTCCAGACAGCACTCTGCAGAATAAACAATAGCTCCACTGCTCTAAGGAAAGCCATGGTAAGTCTTCGTGATTTCTTCCCACTGGCGTTTACTAAGTGTGAAACACGTCTGCTCACACTATCCTAGAAACTTTCTCCATCTTTTCCTCTTTAAACCCTGATCATATGCCCCCCAGTACAATAGTGGCATGAATATTATGGAAGGAACCAACTACTCTCTAACTAGATTTAAGATTCACTTCATAGGATAAAGCCCACACCTGACATTGGTACCAGGCTTAGGAACTTGAGGCTAGGTAGGTCACAGGACATAGGGGAGAGCCTAATACTAGTTTTCTACTAAATAGTTACCATGTTAAACGGACTCCTAATGACTTATTGTTATACCCATAGATTAATGCATCTCTCAGCTCTTACCAGAGAAGCTTCCTTATGCAGCAGATGGTGGTTAACACAGAAACCCACAACTAGCCATGCAGTGAGCAAGAGGCTGCAGAGTGCTTATCCTTAAATAGGACACCTATGTTAAACTTCTGCCTCCCAAGGCTCAGGGATTGTTGTGGAAGAGGGGGAAGAAATATTGTAAGAGCCAGAGGTGATAAATGACCACAAGGAAACAGTTTTAGAGACAACTGGTCAATTACTCATATGAACTCACAGCAATGGTACAGCATGCACAAATCCCATGCAAGCTCAAACCAGACAAAATCCCAGCAAGACATGGAGAAGTGGGTAAGAAACCCCAACCCAACCTAAGGAACTTTTGGCAACAGATGGCTGCTGGGAGGGGGAGAGACAGTCTCTTTCAAAGATGGGACTCTTGGTAGATTAACTAGGCTCCAGTGTATGGTCCCATACTGAAGGACATTTGGGGACACAAATTAGACTCTCTAGGCCTTACCGTATAATTAAACCCTGGTTATATCCATAGAAAGCAAGCACTGCTGTCATTATTCTTTCTCTGCGGATGGGTAAACTGAGGCGTGAAGAGGTGGCACGCCTTGTTCCAGGATCAAGCCACTGAAGACTTTAAGTCTTGCCCAGGGCAGTGGCAGTTGGTGAATTGGACATTTTCACAGCCACGTGCTTGCCCATTTATTCGATGAAGTGCTGCCAGGTCTCTCTCCCAGGTCTCTCTCCCAGGTCTGAAGGGAAGCATTGCATGAGGAGCTGGGATGACTGAGCCACCTCAGATGAATTGTCCAACACCTGGGACTTTTGGAGACAGTCTAAGGCCCAACTCTCAGACCTTGGTCACAGAAACCCTTTCCTGGGTGTGGATCACCATGACACCCCCAAACCAGCTGCTCCTCTGGGTGCCACAAGGCATGACAAAGCCCTGGCATGAGAAAGGGCAAGGCAGATGTGACTTCCTTCAATTTTCTAAAACAATTTTTCAATCTTTTTTTAAATGTCAAGAAAAAGTCATACACTTCTGTTAATATCGGGTACGTAATTCAAAAGGAGAATTTGAAAACTGTACCTGCACAGGGCTAGAGAGATAGCTCAGTGGATAAGAGCTCTAGCTCTGCAAGCATGAGGGCCCAAGTTTGAATCCTTAGTATTCAAAGCAGGCATGGCTGGCATGTGCCTGTAATCTCAGCACTGGGGGTAAAGGAGGGGGAGAGGTAGAGCCTAAGAAGAATTCACCGGCTAGCCTGACTAGCAGAAATGTAAGCTTCCACCTCCTCCCTAGAGACTAGCTCTCGTAGTATTAGAGGAGACTATGCAAGCTGCTAAAGGAGAAAATCAATCAAAGGACCATCCCAGCCGTAAAGCCTAATAACCACAACAATGACCAGAGTAGGAAACTATATTGGTGCAGTACTGGCACTGTTATCTGGGGGATATTCAACAGCTGTCTATTTGGACTTAAAGCCCACTCAATGGGTGGGAACTCATGTGTGATGCTGTAAACATAGTCAAACACACATGGCTGGAGAGATCATAGAGAAAACCCTACATCTGTCACATCCTTAGACAAACATAATTTCTTACTATATGCTAAATATGGATCCTTTTATTTACAGACTAATATACCTGTCCACCACTCATCAAATAAGTTTTTTTGGCAAAAGATGGTGCTTATTTCAGAGTTCCACAACTGGTCACACACAGAGAATAAGTGTCTGTGAGATCTACAGTGGAACCTCAATACCCAAAATTCACAGAACATAATGGAACAGGGGTAGAAAGAGTATTAATGCATCTCTCAACTCTCACCAGCAAAGCTTCCTCATGCAACAGAGGGCGGTTAGCATAAAAAGCCACAATTGGCCAAAATGAAGAGAACAAGGACTGCGGAGTGCATGTTCCTGGATAGGACTCCTGTACTAAACCTCTGTCACCAGGGCACAGGGACCATTGAGAAAGAGAGGATGGAAAGACTCTTAAGAGTCAGGGGTGGATGATCACAAGGAGATACAGTTTTCCAGGAGGCTGAGAACTTGCTTATATACACTTATAGCAATGGTGACAGCACGCGCAAGACCCATAGAAACTCAATCAGACAGAAACGCAGCATAGAGCTGGGGAAATGGGTAAGAAACCTCAACTTTAGCTGAGGAGCTATTGGCAGCTGATCACTTCTGAGTGATGAAGATTTGATCTTCTTTAAGGGAGTGATGCTAGATGGGGTGACCAGACTCCAGTGGATAAACTCACACCAAGGGACATCTAGGGACACTAACTGACTTGATGGGCCTTATATGACAGAATGCATGAAATCTGGTGGGGGCTATAGGTGGGTACAGATAGGGGAAGGGGCCTAAATATGATTAAAATATATTATATGAAATGCACAAAAATTCAATAAAAATATATCTTGGTTTTTTTTAATTAGAAGAAGCAT